ATACATGGAACTGGCTACATCAGAGAGCGTAATACAGGAAAGAAAACAGGTTTTTAAACTCACATTTCCTTGCTTGTGTTTGCTAAAGCTTTATTAACACTGCTCCTAAACCCTGAGAAGCTTTAAGCATGCATTCAACTTTGTGCAACACTTCTAGTGCCACAAACACACACTTAAAGCTTTGCTGAATTGTGACTTTAACAAATAAATTTTACTTTTTTAAAAAAGAAACAAAATTATGGTGATGTAATTAGAAAGAAACTTAATAGCTAGAATTCTATATCTGTATATTTATGAATGGAAAATATTGAGAAACTTGCCATTCCATAGCCTAATTTATGGCTAGTAACTAGACTTTACTGGAATACACTAGCAACTTGAAGTGTTTTAGTAAGTTTTTCTATTTCTGATTTTTTATGAGCCACATTTATACTAAAAGAAGCCTGTGTGACGGATCTGCTCCTTTCCCAGCTCAACCTGACCTTCCACATCCAGCCCTGTTCAGTTGCTAACCACCAGCGACTTATCTACTCCTGGTTGGCACCTTCCTGATTTCTTCTGCCACTCAGATGTCAACATAACACTCCTGAAGGCTGCATCCCAATGGGGAGAAAAGGCTAATACACTAGCAAAGGTCCTTTCACGTGGAAGAATGACTACAAGTCTATCATCTTATCCTATAAATATGCGGACAGTCCAAGARCCCCTCAAGCTCTCCTGGCACGGCAGTGGGCTGCACACCAGGATCTCCCCTTGAGCAGGGACACCTCTCAAGGTTACTCCTCGAGGCTGAGAGATGCCTTTCCACAACAGATTTGTGGTAAGTGAATAGAGCACGCCCTCTTTAAACTTTACTTTGCAACTGTGCATAGAAACCCTTAGTCATAAACCGTGGACCAGGTCTGGGACTAGGATTGGATCCAKCCGCACGCAGAGTCCTCTCAAAAGGAGCTTGGAAAGCAAGGGGGTCCAATTTGAACCTCATGACTCGACGGGAGGGTATCCAAGATAATCGTGTATTATCTTGAGCCTCCATGCAGTAAATAGTAAGCGACCTTGCCATAGAATCTTGTGAAATCACTGTCCATATTAATAAATCCTATTATTATTTCTTTCATATGAATGAAGTGCATTTTGTCACTCGTCCCCTCCCACCACCACCACTCATTCCGTGACAGCCTGACAAACTAACTTTAATGTCAATATAATTGCTAACCAGTTCTCCAACATGCTTCCTAACCTTCTAGCAGGCTTCTAGCACTACAAAAAAAAAAAAAGAAATAATAATCCCACCTTCTCAGGAATACTAGTAAGGACTYATTATGTTGTAAATTCAGTTTGATGGGGAAGAAAAATAGTTTTTGTCATAAAAAATGTTTGGTTCACTTGTTTAGCACAATTAAGAGTAAACATGAAAAAGGAACTTAACTATGACTTCTCTCTCACGTTATTGCTTTTGCAACACGCCCTGGCTAAAGCCAATTTTCAAAGATTTAACTAATAGTTTTAGCCAAGTATCCAAATATGAAATCTTAAAATGCTCTCTAATGAGTCAGCAATTGCAGAAATTCAGATTATTGCACAACTGCAYAACTGTTATATTAACATCTGGCTTTAATAAGAGTAACGTGAACACTATTTAATAGATTCTGTGATGTGCATTTACTTTGGAGAGTCAGGATATGGAAGATTTTTGTGGTGGTGGTTCAGACAGAGCTTCAGCAGCACTAAAGAGGAGCTTTAGAGCTACTGTCAATCTTTACCACAGAAAAAAACATTTTAGACACTTTTATTCCATAGTGAAAATGAAATAATTTTTTGTTTTTCTTCAAGCTCTTGGAGTTCAGATAAGAAARTTTATGAAACAATGCCAGGAAGACTGTTCACTGTGCTCAGTTGAGCACGGAATACTTTCATTTAAGGATACAAACACGGAATGGTCATGGTTGCCAAGTGCAAATTGGCTTAATTTTGGTTGTTGATCTGTTTTTCAGGCATGCTGCTAAAGAGGCAGCAGATATATTCACAGCAGGGAACAAAGACTGCAGATTTATTAATTCACGATAGGAACAGAACTGATTTTGCCAAATCTATTCAAAGCTGCTATTTGCCAAATAGCCTGAATGCAACCCAAAACTACACCTTACCTTCACGTTAAGAGAAGCCTCTCCAGTTTTTAAGTGTTTGCAGTTACTAACTTTTTGTCTAGTACTACAGTTAGGGGGGCTGTTTCCCAACAACGTGAACTGACTGAAGTTGAAGCTGCTATTTGCCCATCTTCCTCAATACTCCTAAGCCACCATTCTGGGTCTGCAACACTGGCACTCACTTCAGTTCAGATATCCAGACTTGCAAAAACTGTTTCATTTTTCTTAAGGGGTTTAACCTTCTGCCAGATCAGCTCTCTTAACCACTACACTGGTCTCACTACATGGAGCAGAGACCAAAAGACTGTGGTGGCAGACAGCAGTTCAATCATACCTGAGYCCAGTTCCCATTACCCTCAAGAGAAGAGGGTAACAAGACAATCTACGCATCTCCGAAAACTGTTTTGCTCAAATGAGACTTGAATAATTCATCCCGCATGCACTATTAGCCACTGCAGTGCAAGAACTGGTGTAAGTACAGAATTGGGTAGATATTTCATAGTTTGTGAATTCTACTCAAGCATTCTACAAGTACGATTACATTTGCATTTCGGTACCTTCCTGTGCAAGGACATCATTTCTTCACGTTTAATGCTACATTTGCCTTTTTTAATACATCCTTAAATTTAAGTGGGTAAAAGTGTTTAGGGGTTTATAAGTGTTTTGGATATGATAGCAATTGAAATCCTATTTCTATTAGTTGCTGCTTACTCATTTCCTAATGATTTTAGTCAGAGATAAGCCCTTAGCATCAGTTTTTCTCTGAGAACTATTAATAYGATAACAGTTCAATCTTCCACTTTTTTTTTTTCTTTCAGGTACGTGGAGTTGAATGATTTCTTCTCCTGTTTCCTCCTGCACTCTATGTGGATTCTAATTCCACCCATCTCTGATCTATTATCTATTTAATAATTCTTTTCCCACTGCCACTTACCTATCCTGGATCCAGAAATCTTACTGGAAAAATCTTACTACTGTTTAAAAACAACAATACATTATTTTGTCGGGGCTTTTTCTGATCTAAATGATGTACAGTTTTGCAAAGCTGAACACTGACAAATCTGTTCCAAGGACATTGGAAATAATAAATTTGAGCTTCCTATATGTTCCTAAGTTCATGGCCAGTTGCTGGCAAGCAGAGCAAGTACAAGCTGACTTCTGTCTGCCTTTCCCTGGCAAGGTCCTGACACAGATTTTCTTTACTGAAGTTCCACCTTCTGAAATCTGTTAGGGAGTTAACCGTGTCTGAGAAACTTTTATTGGAAATTTGACTGAAGCTAATCAAATAGCCTAAGTATTTCTAAAGTGGAGAACTTTCAGGCAAAAAGGCAGACAGGCATGGCAATAAAATTCTTTAGAAAACCAACCAGATGCTAACCAGTCACCTTGTACGTTCTTCAATCAAAGGAACAGGCTTTCAACAGACTTTCATAACTGATTAAACACAGCATAAAAATATGACATTCATCATATTTTTACTTTGTGAATTACTGTAAGCATTCACTGCATTTCATGTCAGTGGAAGAAATCTGATTCTATGAAGTGTTTGAGTTGTAAAGTCCAAAAAGATGAAATTACCAATCAGTGAATACAGTATTCAGTGGTGTATATATAAGTTTGTACGAAGGCTGATGACGACACCGAAAGCCATGCTTTAAAATTCTTCATAAAAAAANAAAAAAAAAAAAAAAAAAAAAAAAAAAAAAAAAAAAAAAAAAAGAAATCATCTTTGTATTCTAAGTTTTTTCTATACTTGTCTCTCTTCACTGTACCTCACCTCGAGGACTGGGGCTATTCCAGTGGCAGACTCTGCTCTGGCTTAGGCTGCAAGTAGTTCTCCTGGGACCATGACGATTTCAGATTAATAGCACCTTCTATCCGCATCCACAAGGGTTTTTTTTATTCTTCCACTTCTCCGAGCAGCTCTTTGCCATACAAATTGTGACCAGTAATTTCCAGTAGTGCTGGAACCTATACTCCGTTTTAGGCTACAGGGGCCTCAGCAGAAATAATCAAGCTGACTTGAATTCAGTGCTCTCCTTACTCCAAAAGCAAAACAACAACGGAAAATTAGATGAGTCGTCCCTTTTTTTCCCCTCACACAACAGACTTGAGGAGGAGGGTGGTCAATATTTTCAACATTTCTGTACCATTTCAGCATCAGTGCTGCACAGTTCTAAAGCTGAGAACATTTCAGTTGACATAACCCACTACTCAAGTACCTAGGTTCCTAAGATTTGCTGAATTAAATTCCAACCGTCAGCAGCTATTACCCATTCTTAGTTACTCCTTTTGAGAAAGAAGTTGCCTCTCCTCAAGTATAACTAGATTTACTTAATTAAAATGCATTACTACGTTGTAAAGCACACTGGGGCAATGCCTGACTCACCACAAAATAAGTCGTAAGATTCATAATAATTAAAACAAAAGCTATACGGGCCAAAATTGTATCTGCTGATATCAAAACTATTAACGTTTTTAAAAAGCCTAACAAAATCTGTGAAGGCTAGCAAGTCAGGACTCCTTCCAAAATAAGATGCAACATTTGCGTTAAAAYTCTGAAAGATGATTAAAAGCAGATTCATATCAAGTAGCAGGCAGAAACAGCACAGTAACCTGTTCTTGGATTATGTAACATGGGCAATAATCCCCACATTTCTGTTTGCACTAGAACATGTCTTGGAAAACCTTCCATTTAACAACCTAGTTAGAAAACTAGGTTGGCTTATTTAAAAAAAAAAAAAAAAAAAAAAAAAAGCCACAACCAACAAAAAAAATGTGTTTCACAGCAGATTATTATTCATTAACAGACTATGTTAAAAAGTTTTGATAGTTTTAAGACACAGCACTTACCTTATATTTTATCCTCCTTTGGTAGTGTCTGTTTCAGCACATTTCTATTGAATTTCAAAGACAGAAAAAACAAAATCACAAGAAATGTCACAAAAATTACTTACTATAGAGTTGTATAGTSTATACCACCTAAAAAAACCCACTACCTCGAACATATGAGTTCTCTTTCTCAATTTMTGAAGTTTTGTGATGTCAAAACATCTTACTGGATTAAAAATTCCAAATGTAAACTAACTGTAACACATTGCAAACCAATTTATTAGCACTTTCGACATTAAAGTCTTTCACGTTACCTCCGGGGTGGAAAACAGTGCAGCTGCTGCTGCTGCTGCATCATCTCTGGGTCCTCTTCCCTCAACTACAATGAACAACCCTTGACTTAGAGCTCTTTCAACTCGAACATGGACAATCTCTTGGGGCGGGACTGTCTCCACAGCTCAARGTGCTCCAGTGCTAACTATGCCTATTCACTGTCATATCATTCAGCATCAGAAACATATTTTAGGTATCAAATAATTCCAATATGAAGGAACCTTCGCAAAGAAAAAAAGAAAAAAAAAAAAAGGAACAAAGAAAAAAACATAAACAGATTATTCGTGTATTTTAGCTTTTTTGTTTTGCCAACAACTTAAATATATATTGTTTGTACATTGCAGACAGCATGTGTATGTATGCTGGTATACACATACACACATCTAATTTGTAATTGCAAACATATTGTGMGCTAAATTTAGAAAAACAAAAATCTTTAGAGTTGAATATATGGCATTTTATGAAATATATTAGTAATGTTTTCAAGCTTTGGCTTTTAGGCCTAAAATATACTCTCGTTCTGAAGAAAAATTGAGGGTTTTTTTAAATGTCTTTAATTTAAAGCATGAAACGAATGTTATGATATATCTGTATGTATCAGTGAAAGATTATTATTTTATTAAAGAAAAAATACATACAGAGGATAAAGGCCAACACTTTTTGGCAAACACCAAAAAGAACTAAAGAAATAGTCTGCCATGAAGTAGACTATCTCCATATCTACCTTCCAATAATTACCAGTTCAGTAATCTAACTGCTGACTTTAAAGGTATGGAGTCCCTATGCAATATCATGTTAATCCATAAAAGTTTCGTTAATTATCTATACTGGTTCCGGGCTGACCAGTGAGGGCTCCTATTTATCAACTGACTTAAGCATAGAAACCTTGTATTTGCCTGAATACTTACTAACTTATTCAACAAAACTTGGAAACTTTTTAATTAACTCACTCAGCAGAATCCCACAAACCGAAACTGTTCAATATTAACAGCATTTTCTTGTTATTGTATGACTATTCATAAAATTTTGCACGTYGTCAGACCCCATTTCCCACATTCCTTGCGTACGGCCCAAGCCTTGACAGACGCCGCACGCTTCCAACGCGGCACTCGGGCTTCTCGACTTCCCAACGTTCCTATTTCATTAACAAGCACCACGACCAGCACTGCCACGTCGAATTACCAACCCAAGTCACGGCACAAAACAGCCTCAGAGGAGGAGGGAAACCTGGGAAGGAGCCGAGGCCGAACACCTTTGCCGAGCTTGCTGCAGCGCCGATTAACGCACAGGCCGGGCACGTTTCCACCACACAGGCCAAGGCGCCGCGTCAGGACGAACTGGAGTCACCTCCGCATAAACACGGGCTCAGGAACACTCTGTTCTCGCAGCCTTTTTAATTTTTTATTATTTTTTTTTTAAGGATGGCCGATGTCAGTCCTGTGTTTCCGGGGCATATCCGAACCCTCTTGCTGCCCTGCCGGGGGGTTACGACGCAGCAACGGCAGGGCACAAACGGGAGGAACGTTCTGGTATTTCCCCGTTCGGGCAGGTGTTAAATGGCGCTTTTCGACACCGGCAGTTGCGGCGGCCGCGGGCGGGGCCGGGCACGCGCCCCGGGCACGCGCGCCAGACCCCGCTCGCGCCGGGCCCGGTGGGGCCTG